GGCTACAGGGTTGTCTTGCAATGGCTAGCCGGCCGGATGGTAGCCCCTGCAGTGGGCTCCCACCCGGGGCAGGGTGGCTCGCCCTATTGACAAGGTAAGGGAGGGGTCCTTGACCTCTGACCTTGACCATAACGCAATCTGTTTTGCCCTTGCCTTTGGTTCCAGTTAAAGTTGTCAGTTAATAAAGTGGCCCTATAGTTAAACCCAACACTTGTGTCTGCCTCATTATTTCTGGCTTGGGGGGCAATACGATTAAACAGCCCACGGCCGTTCCGGTCGTTGGGCTGGGAAAGCGCCTTTGCCTCCCAGCCGGACGAGGCAGGGGAACGTTTAGGCGCCAAAAAGCGCCACATACGGGACTTGGGAGGGGGCGGGGTACTGAAGGCTTAAAAGCCCGGCCCCGCCTCTCCTCTCCAGCAGTCCCGCGCGGTTCGTCGGCCCACCCTCCCGCCCTGTTAGTAGTGCAGGCATTTGCTGGTCGCCTAGTTGGGGGCCGGGTAGGAATTTTTCACCACTTCTTCATTGGCACTTGGAGGGGGTGTTTTCGCCTACCCTGCACTGCAGCAGTGATGCAGGTGTTTATGGGGGTGAGTTGTATTAGCCTGGTCGGTCACTTTCGTTAGGCAGGTTGCTATGTGGTATACAGATTGCGGTCAGGTGAGCACCAGCTGACACCCCTCATTTGGGGTTTAAGGGGTCCTGTGAGTACAGTCTTTGTGCCTTGCGGCATGGGGCGGGGAAAACGGACTGCCTTCGGGACGGCCCTGTTTAGGTCCTCTCTTTGAACCTTGCGGCTTGGGGGATGGGGCTACAGGGTTGTCCTGCAATGGCTAGCCGGCCGGGTGAGAGCCCCTGCAGTGGGCTCCCACCCGGGGCAGGGTGGCTCGCCCTATTGACAAGGTAAGGGAGGGGTCCTTGACCTCTGGCCTTGACCATAACGCAATCTGTTTTGCCCTTGCCTTTGGTTCCAGTTAAAGTTGTCAGTTAATAAAGTGGCCCTATAGTTAAACCCAACACTTGTGTCTGCCTCATTATTTCTGGCTTGGGGGGCAATGGTTGATGTAGCAAACCACATTTTATTCAGTGCTACCCATTAGAAAGTAGATTAGACTGCCATCTTCCCCACACCATGCTTTAGTCCCTTGTGCTGTTCCTAAAGCCTGCCTAGTGCCATACAGAATCTGAAGGCTTACCCAGTGCCCAAGGAGTGCCCCCATATATAAACTGGATTGTCTCCACTTCGTGCTTTTATCCAGTCAAAAACATGAAGAGCATCATAAGTCAGTCCGCTTTCTGAAGGACTGCCTACTGAGTCTCCCCAGCCTGATGAAAGAGAGAAAAAAATTATTCCAGGAATCATATTCAAATCCATTAGTCAAAGTAAAGTGTCTCAATTAAAGCCAAAGTAATAATAGTGGCCCAGAAATCTAATTCAATATAGCAGCATTTAAATTGCCTCTCAGAAGTTTAGACTTTGCTAAGATGCTCATTAAAATGAAATGACAAACCACCAAAATAAATATTCCAGCATCTTTCATTCAGTTTAGTTCCAAGGCAGTCTCAGCATTTTGAGGTGAGAAGGGAACCTTATCCATAAGGTAGTTTCAGAGGGTGGCCAATGTTGGGCTGTAGTAGAACAGTTAGATTCAGGTCCAATGGCACCTTAGAGACTAACAAGAGTTTCAGGGTGCAGGTTTTTGAGAGTCAAAGCTCCCTTCCTCAGAGATGTCAGGTACCTGATGAAGAGAGCTTTGTTTCTTGAAAGCTTATACCCTGAAAATCCTGTTGGTCTCTAGGGTGTCACTGGACTCAAATGTATGAGGTCTACACAGTGTACTGGGGTCTACATAGAGGTGGGAATACGACTGTAAAATGCATAGTACCTCTAAAAATGGTATTCCCTATTTATGGCTTTAACACTCCCCCACTGGGGGGGGAGTAGAAAAGCTGAACATCCAAATATTACAATTCACCCCTTTGCTTTCTGTGATGACTTCCTAATTCCAGGCAGTTAACACAGGGAAGAATTCAAAAGTGCTACGTCTTCCTCCCCCAACCTCACACAAAGTTCTGGTATAAACCAAGCTAATTGCTCTCAAGAGGATTCCCCCCCACACACACTGTCCTAGAAGACCACAAATCTATACGCAATAACATGGAGTTAGCTGAAGAGGTCATATTAACAGAAAGGAAGAGAAAAAGATCTCAGACCAAATGTACTTTGCTAGTGAACAAAACAAAACCTGTCAATATTTAATGAAGAAATGGCTATTTCCGGTACGGCGCGACGACGGGCGGCGCGCGGCTCGCTCCGTGCTGCCCGTCCCTCCTTCGCTTTCTTCTGGCCTCCCGAACTTCGGGAGAGCCGGACCAGTCCTCCTGGGGGGAGGATTGGAGCAGGGGGCTTTGTTTTCTGGCCCCTCCCGTGGTCGGCAAGCGGGGGGGTGACCGGGAGTGCCCCGACGCGGGGCGAAGGAAGGGAAGAAAACATGGCCGCCGCCATGTTGGAAGAAGACGCGACCATCCGGAACTGTTTTTAACTTTCTTTTTGGAATATAATGGTAATATTGTGGCAACACAGAAGAAGAGGAGAGGAGCAAAAACGGAAAGGTGAAAAATTCCCCAGAAAAAGGTGCCTAAATATGTAAAGTAAGTGGCCGCGAGAGATTTTGGACTAAAATGCAGGACAATATTCCAGTGGGGGAGCGAGGAGTGCTTGAGCCTATGAACTGTGCTGTTCTGGCAAGGAGTTAAATGAAGATAAAGGTTTGGTAGAGACAGAAGTGGAGAGAGCTTGAAGGAGACGGAGTGCATGATGAGAAGCGGGGAGGAAACGGACGAAAACATGGAAGACGGGGAAGTTACAATTGAACAGTTTGTGAGGGCTTTGACTGAGGCTGTAAAAAAAGGCTGCGATGAAGCTAGTGCGGCAATAAGGAAGAAGTACAACATACAAGAAGAAGCAGAGGGAGGAAAAAAGCAGGAGCAGGAGCAATTTGCTACAAGGAAGGTTATAGAAGAGAGTCATATACGGAAGAGAGAGCACGCTACAGAGGAAAGCCCAGGGAATATACAAACGAATGACTTTGTGGAACCTAAAGCTTTACCAATGGAATTAGTAGGGAAGAACTTGGAAAATAAAAAACTCCCTGATGTTAAATTGGAAGTGGATTTGTTAAAAGAAAAAGGACAATGTTTAAGACCTGGACGAGAGAGAAATAAAAGGGTTAAAAAAAGGAAAAGAAGGGCGGGGAAATTTAAAAGAAACAAAGGCCCTGGGAATATAGAATGGTTGCAAATTAGAGAGGGAGGCTATGGAAGGCAAGGGAGGTTTAAAGAACGCAGGCATGTAGACATGTTGAGAGCGAAGTGCAGACTGCTAATGTTAAAGAGGAAAAGAAAGCCCTATGAAAGATAGAAAGACCCTAGATATAGGATTAGACGGAAAAATGAAATAAAACCTACATATGGATGTATTTATGCAATAGAATTTGAACTGTTGGTGTAAATTCAGGGGGACTAGAATGTGTTATTAGGTGATTAATTATTTTTCGGGGTGAAAACCAATTTAAAAAAAATTAACTATATTTAAGGGAAATTGTGATGATAAATTTAGGGTAAAATGGTAATTTTAACAGAGGGATGTTGAGTTTGGGAGTTGTTCAAATGGAAGCTAGAACTCAAGCATTTAGGGCTTTATAGTTTGATTTATGTAAAATGATTATGTTTAATTATATGTAGTGCTTGAAATCTAATCATGACATTTAATAGAGTGATGTCAAGTTTGGGAGATGTTTAAATGGAAGCTAGAAATTAAGTATTTAATGGTTCTAAAGCTATATCTATGTATGGTAAAATGATTATGTTTAATTATATGTAGTGCTAGAAAATTAATTTTGACACTGGTTAGAGTGTTTGGTGGTGATATAAGTTGGCGATATAAACAGGTCTAAATATGTCTGTGATAAAAGTCTAGAAGAGGTTGGATATAGATTAAATGACGTTGGGTAAAGTCTTAGCAGTTTACAACAGAAAGAGGTAGAAGGAAGTGAAGGTAAAGTTATAGGTAAAAGAAAATAGTAGATAAATCCAGAAGTAGAGATAATGGTTCCTATAGGATGTTTAAAAAATATGAAAGATGTAAGGATTAAACGGCGATTAAAAAGGGTAATAAAAGTTAATAAAAAGACATAAAAATTAAAAATTAAATTAAATATTAATTAATTCCCTATACGTAAAGCAAAGAGTGGGCAAGAAACAGGGGAAGCATTAAGAGTCAGAATTGTATAAGACAAGAATGGGAAAGAGGTTACAAGCAGATAAGAACAACCAATAAATAGGACTTTTTCAATATAGCTCAGAGAAGACAGTACAGATAACTTAAGGGAGATAGAAATATAAGTTCCTAGTCAATACAGATAGGATACTAAGAGTAAGAGTAAGGGGAAAGCTACTTATTCTGGGTATGAGGCTATGCTACTCTGTGTTGTTACAAAAGAGAAATGTTGTCTAAGGAAGCTGTATATATGTATTCTTGTTGGTGAATGTTTGTATGGTGTAGGTTTATAAAATCAAATAAATATATTAAAAAAAATATTTAATGAAGAAATGGCAAGTAATTTATTCTTCCTTCAAAACTGGATTAGCAAAAAGATCAGCTCAAGAAAATAACTATGTTTAAGCAGCTTCTTCCTAAACTACCTGCTTGCAATCAAACTGAACAGCAGAAGCAACCAAACTGAACAGCAGAAGACTGATCTAAAAAAAGAAAAGAAATCCAACTCCTTGCTTTCTTAGAGTACAGGTTTTAGCTGAAGAAAAACAGTTCAAAGAAACTAAAAGGATGATGAAGAAGATCCACCAAGTCCGGTCCATAGCTGGCTAGCCTGGAGCAAACACTTGAAGAGGTAAACAACAGCTGAAACTTTGGGAAGTTTAGCTTCAAAATGCCTGTTGGGGGAACCTGGTTTTGAAGGTGGAGAATGTAACATCAAATTTATTTTACCACATTTATTTTAAACTATTTATTTGCATGTTGTCTTGCACAAACAGAAATGCAAAGCTAACTCCCAGTGCGGTCTTTTTAGCACACATGGAAATACACTGGATCCAACCCAGTATTAGTAACATGTACGGATCCTTCAAGGATTACACCAGCAGCACACTACAAATACAAGCATTAATCAGTGAAAGTGCCTTGAATGAACAGCAGAATATTATGGCTCCATTTGGCTTGAGTCCTGCATGCCAGTGTTCTCTCCACAGCAGCCTTCCTATTAAGATCTGCAATGAAAGCTCTGTTTCACATTCCCTTTACTAAAAGATATTACACTTTTTAGGATACTGAGCAGGGCCTTCACAAGCCTGGCTCCATCTCTGTAGAATGCCATAGTCATTAAAGTTTGAGCACAGACATTTTGGGGAAGCCCAAAACATCTTTAGACACATTCTTGATGTTGCATTATAATTAAGAGACAGCTAAGGATGCAGGTTTGTACCTGTACATTTAGTATTTTTGGAAGGCCTTTTAGGTTACATCCATCAGGCTTATGGCTGAGGACAGCGACGATTTTTCCATCTCACCTGGCCCATAACCTTGCCCCTTGGAGGAAGCTGACCACATGCAGAAAGCCATCTAAGACTGAGGGTTAATGGTTTTACTGGTTTTATTGGAAATCGTGACGGATTGTCTGCTTTTATATTAATTAACTTAATTTCAGTGATGTTTTAACTAAATTTTATGTTACCTATGATGTACACTGCCCTGAGCCCTTTGGGGGAGGGCAGTTTAGAAATTCAATAAATAAAATTAATAATAATAATAATTTTGCTGTTTTATTATAGAGGTTTGTTGGCTGCCGAAAGTATGAGAAAACCAGGGCACACTTTTTAAAATCCAATCTGAAGTGTAAGAAATCATGGGTGAAAGGATAACATGATGTCATTATATGCTATGCTAGTTTTAGTATAGCTTCCATTCTGCACCCTCACATATACACACAATACCAACCCCCCCAGCCTCAGAAACACAGTAGAATTTGAGAAGGTATTAATGGGCGGATCAGTGGATGGGGTGACAGAAAATGTTAACATGCGTACCAGATAAAAACAGCAAAAAAGATGGAAAAATTAATATGTCTCATCTTAAAAATAGACTTGGGAAGGGATTCACTTCTGCAGTAACTACTATTCCCCAAATGGCTAACCAAGTTAAGTATCAGGCAAATAAACTAACTTAGCCATACGGGGAAACTTATTTAAAATTTTTTAATCAGAACAATTTTACCAGGATTTTAAACTACTACTAAAATTCAAGGAATTTCCTAATCATCAGTTACATGGTAGAAAACAATTGGATGTGTTACAGAAGCCAATGCAGAACAAAACCTAAAAACACAAACCCAGGCTAAAAGGATCTTACCTCGATAATCAAATGTGACTACATGGTAACCAAAAGAACTCAGAACCTTGAACAAACACAAGACAAATCATAAGATTACAAAGGGTGCTATATGATTTTTAAAGAAAGAAGATGCATTTTAACACAGCCTTTCTCCCTTATGTGCTATTTTTCTATATTCAGGGAGTTGGGGGTTGTTTGTTTTTTGACAGTAGTAGTGGGGAAGCATTCAGACAACCAAATCTCTTTATCTGCAAGTTCAGGAATTATTTCCATTTTATACATTCAGATAACCCTGAGAAAGCAGCTGATATGTCTGACTACAATGTGGAAGACCAGAGTCCAAACTTCCACTCAGTCATGAAGTCAGTTTAGTGTAGTGGATAAGTGCGTGGACTATAATCTGGGAGTACCAGGTTTGATTCCCCACTCCTCCACTTGCAGCTGCTGGATGAGCTTGGCCAAGTCATAGTTCTGTCAGAGCTGTTCTTGAAAGAGCAGTTCTGGAAAGAGCTCTCTCAGCCTCACCTGCCTCACAGGGTGTCTCTTGTGGGAAGGGGAAGGGAAAGGAGTTTGTAAGCTGCTCTGAGACTTCGAGTGAAGGGTGGGGTATAAATCCAATCTCGTCTTCTCTTCTTCTTCTTCTTCAAGGGGTGATCAATCACACATAGCCTGACCCATCTTACAAGGCTGTTGTGAGAATAAAGTCGGAAGGGGGGAAAGAACCATGTATACAACCTTGAGCACCTCAGAAGAAGGGGGCGGGATAACAATTTAAAGACTACAAGTCAAAGGTGAATGATATGAGAGTACAATAGCACCTGCACTTTAGAGGTTTTCCTGACAGAAGACAAATAATCTACTCATAAAAAGCCTGGATAGCTGAGCTATTACCAGAACTGTAAACATAGTAGTGTTAGGCCAGGGGAGTCAAACTCATTTGTTATGATGGCCGGATCTAACATAAATGAGACTTTGTTGGGCCAGGCCATATGTGTCATAAAATGTAATGCCACATAGTGGAGATATAAACTTTATAAAGGACACAGACAAACATAATTAAAGATTTTTAAAATTTAAAATAAAAAAATGCTTAAAACATGAGCACTCTTGCAATATTTTGTTTATTTAACAGTGTCTGATAACTGATACCTCTTCCTCTGAATTACTGTATCATAATGTCTGTGCTGTAGCAATCTTGAATATGCTGTTCAAGTGTGCATCTGTAAGCTGCAAACCTACTTTTGATTTATTGACATTCATTACAGAAATCTCATGCTCAGAGTTCTGAGCCTAGGACCCAGGGGAAAATATGAAATGGTTTGGCATTGTGGGCTTTTGTACATAAACTGCTTTGTGTATTGGTCAAGAACATGAGAAGGCACCATGACACAGACTGAGGGCTATGTGTTTGTCTACAAAACTATAATCCTCCTTAGTGTTCGGTATCAGCCTACTATCTGGGAAGTCTAAATTCAAAATCACCAAAGGAAATGTGCTGGGTGAACTTGGTCTAAACACACAGTCTCAGCCTAATCCACCTGACTGGCCTGTTGTTATTCCTCATCTAAATAGTTCACATTGCTTTTCTACTGAAAAAGACTGGATCATGAGGGCATGAATGCAGTGAAAAGGGAGAGGGAACCCAGTTGCACCCGAGAGAGCCACAGCATAGCAAGCCCAACAAAACACACACACTGTAGCAAGGCACACAAAAACTCATACCTCAGATAAAACTTTGTTGGTCTTAAAGGTGCTTTGTATTTTTCCCATGTGATTGAGGCAGCCAAGCAAAGCAAGCTCTCCCTCCTTCCCTTCGGAGAGAAGCCTCAGCCAATGGAGAGGAAGAAAGTCTTGCCTTTGTTTCCTGTGCGACTGAGGCAGCCTGGTTAGGAAGCAAGTTCTGGCTCATTCCCTCTCTCTCCCTGGGAGGGGGAGGAGCCTCAGCCAGAGCAGAGAACAGAAGCTTGCCTATTTATCTCTCCTGAGCAACTGAAAGAGCCTAGCAAAGCAAGCTACTAGGCAACAGCAGAACTGAAGAAGCAGGAGACAGTGTGGGCCTGATAGAAGCCCTTCGGGGGCCTGATCCAGCCCACAGGCCGCATGTTTGACACCTCTGGTTTAGGCTAGGTAACAATAAGGCAATTCTCACCTTGTAAAGTTCCACACGGTGTTCCCCTCCTCTATTAAAAGAAATTGGGAAAGTACACATTAGTTTGTGACTTTTAAAAGTCAGCTTTGGTACATTCTTCATGGTATCACAAGAAATGCCCTTACTTACTCAACTGAAAACTGGCTATGAAAAAAGACTGGAACTTTCCTTCTTCATTCTTCCCCTTTAATGTTTTAACCCAATGCAGAGACAGCGTGAGACATTTTGGTGTCTGTGGCACAAAACGGTAAAGGATGCCCCCCAAAGCTGGTAAAAATAAGGAGCTAAATATTTGTTGACTTTATGACATATTAAATCTTACACCTAAAGTCAGGCTGCCCCTAACCGGATCTAAACCCTTAGAATTAAAATAAAATGCTACCCTTTTTGAGGTTGGCTCATTTTAAAATTTCTTACCTTGTACCTCCATTTCCATGCAAGTACAGGATTACAGGGCTACTAGAACCCAATGCATCCTCATACCATGGTTGGTCCTTTCCTTGAGCATCCTTCCACAAACCTGCAGGAACTGTGTGCCTAGAAGTAAAACAGCAAATCAGAAATCTCATCACTTCTCTGTACATTCCACCTACAGATTTCAACGACACAGAGCACTAAGAAGAGACAGCCCATACAGTTATGTACAAAGCACCATCTAAACAGAATTATACTGCTTCAACAATAGGAACATAAGGGCAATGAGCTACTCTTCCTGAGACCACTCAGCCCTACTATGGAATATGCATTACTCCTGAGGCTGACAAATGTTCACCCCAATTCCTTCCAATGCTCAGTTTTCTCACAGTGTTTACAGAAAGCCTCATGTATTTGTTTAGAAACAGCTATTAAATATTACAACTTTGAAGAGTTCTTCCATAGTTATGACCAGTGTTCCCTCTAAGCTGAGTTAGTTTGAGCTAGCTCACAATTTTTTAGTCTCTGGCTCACACATTTTTGTCTTAGCTCAGGAAGGATGGCTCCAGAGCAAACTAATTTATGCAGTAGCAAAATTGCTCGCTCACAACTTTAATGCCAGTAGCTCACAAAGTAGAATTTTTGCTCACAAGACTCCACAGCTTAGAGGGAGCATTGGTTATAACACTCATATGCGCTGCATGTACTAGTGTTTCAAAGAGCAATTCCATCTTAACAATGAAAACAGTGCTGTCAACAAAAAAAGGAAGCCCTGTGTCAAATTTATGCCCTCTCAGTTTTCTAGATCATTACAATATGCATTTACCCACCGTTTGCTGCTAGTGCTGGTGGAACGTGGGCATGGAAATGCTATTTGTAACAGCACTGAGATGGCAAACTACGGGTTGGGTATTAGCTAGCTTCGGGACTGCCATTTTCTGTTCATTCTTTGTAATGTGTTCACAGTTTCTGTGAGAACTCAGGATATATGCCAGCTCTTCTAGGCCAGTTCTTCTACAGCCAAAGCAGAATGAATGAATGAATTATATATGTTACAGCTCCCCAAGGTCTCTGGAACTGGTCTTTCCCAGAACTTCAACCTGATATCCTCAGAACAAAAGATGCCAGAGATTGAAGTTAGAACATGCTGCTTTTAAAGCATGAGTTCTACCACTGAATTTATATCCTCTCTCAGTATGGAGAATATGCATCTCATTGATAGTATACACTGCATCTTGAAAGCTCCAAATCTTCTTTAAGATACCCCCCCCAAAATCCATTTTACAACACTCAATCAGCTATGGAGAAACAGCCAGCCTTGATATCTGAACAGTGTTAAAAATAACAACAATAGCACAACAAGATACAGCTATAATACAAGCACAAGTCAGTGTTCCCCAGAACGATACTGAGAACTGTAGTTAAATGAGGGTACAGAATTCTGTTAGAGATTCATACCAGAACACCTGCCCCCCCCCCCCCCCCCCCCTATAGCTCCTAGAGCAAATGAATGGCAAACCAGTTTAAGCCTGTGGAGTATCTGTACTCAGGGCTGAACTACATGTTGTGTAGTTTTGTGATTAAAATATTCCCCTCCCAAATGCAGCCACTGAGGGGGTAACACTTGTCAGAGGAAAGTAAACAGGAGGAGACAGTTAAAGTACTCCTCCCCACCAACCTCTGTGACTTTCTTCTCCTCATAGTAGCAGCCCCAGCCACCACACTTCGGAAAGAAACAAAGACATAAAATAATAATGGGAGTACATACAGTGTGTTGGATCTACTGCAAAAATTTTGCTGGTGCTATAGTGTTTTTGCAGAACGCCAGCACTGCCATGTTCTAAGCCAAACTTTGTATCCCCATTTGTGTTTCTGCTTGCACAAGATATTGTACAATCAATTTGTGGGCACTGTACTATATAGTGAGAAAAGTACTAGGTGCTGCACAAGATCTTGCACAAGCAGAGCTGCACAAAGTCCATTTATGTTTCCACTTGCTCATCGCTGGATTCAAGCCAATGTGTAATTCAGTTGTCAGACAGAAGCTGAAGGAAATGAGCATTCTCTGATACTCAGATTACTGCAGAGACCATGCCAATCACAGACCTCCTGAAAATCTGAAAGATTATCAGCAAGAACCTGTGGTAGAACATTACTGGACATTTCAGAGCAAGTTTCTCTTTACTCTTCAGTACTTCCAGACCACGCTATATTAACTCATTAGTGCCAGGAACTTCTTGCTTCCTTCTTTAATCTAAGATTATCCTTCAAAGTTTTATATCCCATTTAATTACATTAAGTAAGCAGCTTATTAACCACAGATATGGCTCAGTATACTTATCCTGTACTTATAGCAAGCACCAAATTGCATAGTAATCCCAAAACAGCAGAGGCCTGGAAAGCCAAACAAAATTGGCGGGGAGGGCAGAGTGGAACTTTTGTTCTCCTGAAGCATCTCATACAAAGGATTAGTGGACTTTACATAGACTTTGTCCTTTGTATTAAGTACTGTTAGAGCCTAACCCTTTAAGAAAATATAAGAGTGTGTGTTGAACTTGAAAAGTATTGGAACTGTTAAAATTGATTTGGATAATATATTCTTTCTACTTCTGTTCGTAATTTATACATGGAGTGTTTGTGTATTGATACATCCTATTATGTTTGGCTTGGAAGACTCTCTAGTTTGACACTGGCTTAGATTCTCAGATTGCACATTTGTTCTGTTAGGTTTGCATTGTTTCGTGCTTCTGCTGGGATTCTATAGTTCTGCACTGGTTCTTTGGGCTTGTTGGTTCTATCTGCTTGGAGAGACTTTTGGCCAGTGCTTGCTTTGCTTGCTGTTTTGTCTTTGCCTATTCTTTGCCCTTGAGAAAGCATGGAAATTCCCCCTCATAGGAAACAATGGAGGATGTCTGGGGGCACTAGGGGCCCCAGGTCCTCTTGCTCCAATTTACTTGAAACTTGGAGATTATTTAATGGATAGGCACCAGAAGCTCCACTGCAATTTTGGTGTCATTTGCCAACAGTTCCTGGAACCTGGATAACCAGGAATACTGATTCCCCCCCCCCCCCCCCGATC